TACCTAATCCACTATCAATGACTTCCTTGTCAAAATCTAAACTCTGGGTCCCTGTTAACATTTCTACCACCTTTGGACCAACTTTAAATCCCATGTTGCTTTAGTCTGACCTCAAATCTAGAACTGCTCCGATAACATTTCCACCATCACATAATTTCTGGTATGACTTAGCACTCAACTTTCAATTAACTATTCCCTCACCAATGTCTCTCTAATACAGAATCAGATCCAGATGTGTTAATTTTTCCACCATCAATGTATACCAGGAGTGATCTCAAAATTGACCTCTATTGCCAGGGTTCAATCCTCAGTATATATTTAAAAAAAAACTCATAAAAGAAAAACTGAAATAATCATAATAATAATAATAAAAATGAGGTCAGTGGCACATACCTGTAATCCTAGCTACTTGAGAGGCTGAGGTAGGAGGATTGCAAATTCAAGGCCAACCTCAGCAACTTAGAACCTAAGCAACTTAGTGAGATCCTGTCTCAATATAAAATAAAAAAGGTTGGGGATGTAGCTCAGTGGTAGAATACCCCTCAGTTCAATCCCAGATACCACACACACATAAAAAAAAGACAATAATAAAAAAATGTTGACCTTTGTGAGTTTTTCCAACATTAATGACCTTGATACCACCAGGGTCACATACATACAATAAATAAAATGGGCTTATTAGTCTGCTGCAGCAGGGAGACCAAACCTCACAAAACTGTGGGATGTCTCATCTAGGATGACTAATTTTTTTCCAGTTTGCCCAAGACTTTCCTGTTTTTAGCATTGAAACTGACCTTGTCCAAGTAAACCCCTCAGTCCTAGGCAAATAGAGATGGTTCATACCTTAGTGTCACCAAAAAAGAAATGGGATTACTATAGAGTATAGGAGTGCATTAAGCAGATATAGAGTTTAGGTAACATTTAACTGAAGCAATATTTTCAATGAGCCCAAAGTAAAACAGTTTGGTATGTAAAAGTGTCAACATCAGGTCTAGGATGTGAAGTAGACTCAAGGTCACTTCTCTTTAGAAATACCAAAGTAGCCAGGCATGGTGGCACATACCTGTAATCCCAGTAGCTCAAGAGGCTGAGACAGGAGGATTGCAAATTCAAAGCCAGCCTCAGCAATGGCGAGGCACTAAGCAACTCATTGAGACCCTGTCTCTAAATAAAATACAAAATAGGGCTGGGGATTTGGCTCAGTGGTCAAGTGCCTGAGTTCAATCCCTGGTACAAAAAAAAAAAAAAAAAGAAACAAAGAAAGAAAAAAGAAATACCAAAGTAAAGCCAGATATGAAATATTGGCTTCAGTTATCCATTATCAGAAGCTCTGTACCTGGGTTGAAAATCAAGGCTGTTTCTCTATATCAAAGTGGGTTAAATCCTCCAGGCAAGAGTGGGATTTTTTATTTTTACCAATCATTTTACACAGGACAATATATAGTCTGTGATTTTAGTGAGCAAGTGTCCTGTGCAAGGCTCACTAAGACTAGAGAGAGGAAAGTGAATTTATGAGTGCAAAATTTAAAGATATTTGAAGCAATATTTTCAAAAGTCAAAATTAATGCAGTAAATTCTTTTTTAATAATTCTTTTTTTTGGTACTGGGTATTGAATTCAGAGGTGCTTTACCACTGAGCTACATCCCCAGTCCTTTATTTATTTATACATTTATTTTATTTATTTATATATGGCGTTTAGGATCGAATCAAGACCTTGCAAGTGCTAGGCGAGCACTCTACCACTGAGCCACAACCCCAGCCCCAGCAATAAATTCTTAATGAACAAAATACTAAGACTTTAATGAAACAAATACCTATACTAGCTATCTATTGCTGCATAACAAACAATCCCCAAACATAGAAACTTAAAACAACAAATATTATTATCTCAGTTTCTGTGGTATAAAGAATTTGGCTTACCTGGGTGGTTCTGTCTTAGGATCTCTCATAATGTTTTTTACTTCTAAGCTGCTTTATTTGACTAGCTATTGGTGGCTGGGTGTGGAGACTGAGACAGGAGGACCAAAAGTTCAAAGCCACCCTCAGCAACTTAGCAAGACCCTAAGCAACTCAGAGAGACCCTGTCTCAAAAAAATAAAAAAGACTGGGGCTGTTGCTCAGTGGTTAAGGGCCCCTGGGTTCAGTCGCTGTTATAAAAAAAAAAATGCTGTTGGCTAAGGGCCTCAGTTCCTCACTGGCTATTAACAGGAATGCTTGGTACAAGGGCCTCTCCAAAGGCCGTTTGAGGTCTGGGAATGTAGTTTGGTGGCAGAACGCTTGCTTAGCATACACAGGGCCTTAGGTTATATCCCTACCACAGAACAAAAAAGCCATCTGAATGGCCTTATGACATAGTGGCTGGTTTACCCTGGAATGGGGATATGAGAGAGAGAGAAAGAGAGATACAGACCTAGGCTGATGTATCATAATTTCTGACCTTGAGACCTGGGGCCTCCATTAACTATGCCAAGTCTATATTCTAAGAAAATATTAATTTTTCACCAGGTGCCTTGGCACACACCTGTAATCCCAGTGACTCGGGAGGCTAGGATAGAAGGATCACAAGTTCAAAGCCAGCCTCAGCAACAGAGAGGTACTAAGCAACTCAGTAAGACCCTGTCTCTAAATAAAATACAAAATAGGGCTGGGGATACAGTTCAGTGGTTGAGTGTCCCTGAATTCAATTCCCAGTACCAAAAAAGAAAAGAAAATATTAATTTTTCCATCATCAGTCTCCCTGGTTTTGTCTATAAATTTCTGTTAATGATTTTTCCAGAAATCATTTTTCCAGAAACCATCTTGTTTCATAGGTAGCAAACATAGGCCTGTAAGAAGTCTTCTAGTATGAATACATTTTTACTGTTAATGGCTCTCTGGGCCAGTTCCTTACCCTGAGCTTCTGTTAGTTTAAAAACATCATTGTCCCTCTGGTTTGAACTTTAACTCAGGCATTTGTTAAAGTGATGGGTTTGGATATCTAATCAGAAGGACTTTGATGGTAGAAGAATTAACCCTGGCTCCATAGTTGAGATTTAGAACACAGAGGCTTTGAGAGGGATTGTTAGTGGAAAACTAATAGATATCCAGTCTCTCAATTTATAAAAGAAGAGTTAGCAAGCAGAAGTATGGTAGTCAGCCTTTTGTTACTTTGGCAAATATTTAGAAAAACAACTTAGAGGAGGAAAGATATATTTTGGCTTACAGGTACAAAGGTTTCAGGGGTGACCAGGGCACGACCCAAGTGACCTGATTCCTTCAACTAGTTTCCACTTCACAGTAGTCCATTCAGCCATCAATGGATTAATCCACTAATGAGGTCAGAACTCTCATGATCTTGTTATTCCCCCAAAGCCTCACTTCTGAGCACATGCAAATTTGGATGGTCATTCCAGATTCAAACCATAACAAGAAGCTTGGATTTGGCTTGTTACAGTGGTACAAGCCTGTAATCCCAGCAACTCAGGAGACTAAGGCAGGAGGATCACAATTTGTGGCCAATAAAATGGCCTGGGGGCATGGCTTAGTGGTAGAGTGCTTATGAATTCAATCCTCACACACACACACACACACACACACACACACACACACACACACACAGAAGTTTGGATTCAAAATGAAAATGCAGGAATCATTGATAGACATAGGTGTTGGGGAGTTAATAGATTTTTTTTTTTCTTGTACTGGGGATTGGACCCAGGGCACTTAACCACTAAGCCACATCCCTCCCCTTTTAAAAAATACTTTATTTTGAGACAGGGTCTCTCTGAGTTGCTTAGGGTCTTGCTAATTTGCTGAGGCTGGCTTTAAACTCACTATCCTCCTCCTTCAGCCTCCAGAGCCTCTGGAATTACAGGTGTGTGCCACTGCGCCTAGCCTGATCCATGTTTAAGATCAGTTTACAGAGGCATTGGTGGTGGATGAGTTAACAGAGTCCAGGGTTTGAGATGTTGAGCAGAAGTCACAACAATAATGAGTTTGGGGAATTTTTGTAGAAGTGTATGCCTTATAGCAGTATTCTCACAGATGTCATTGTCTTTCTTTCAACTCACCAATACTGCAAGATGGACAAAGAAAGTGGGGGTAATGATGAGCTACGGCCCAGAGAGAGGATTTAGATGTCTTTAGGGTGCTAGTTATCCATACCCAAGCTAAGCCATAACCTACCTGCTGGTTCTGAAACAACTTCAGCAGGGAAAATATCCCCCTACCTCTAATCAGGGAAGGCTTCCTGGAGGAGTATATATTTGGACTAGGTTTGGAAAAATGTGTAGGAGTTCACATATAAAGAAAATCCATAATTCACTAGCAGCTTCTGAATTTACATACAGGAGATGCTAATCAGCTGTATCTTGTTGGCAGCAAGAGGAGGAGATATGTCCTTGGAGGTACATTTCACCAAAAGTATCCTTATAACGTTTACTAAACATTTTTCTATTGAGAGTTTGTTGAAAAACCTTAGTTGTCCATGTGGAAGACTATTATTTTTATTATTCCTGGCTACCATCCTCTTATCTGGATAATGGAAATTGAGGGGGATTCAAGTCCCCTCTACGGCAATTGTGGCACATTAAGAGGAGACTTATCACCCTAATTCTCCCCCCCTCCGGTCTTCTCCAATGGTATCGCCCATGAGGGAACCTGTGCCGCTTTAACCTGACTTCTCCTCCTCATCCCAGTGGTAGCGCCAAGAAGAGGATTGTACCATCCTGAGTCCTTTTCCCTCTTGCTCAATGTATCTACTTAAGAGCTAAGGGTACACCTCCCTATGCTCCCGGAAGGAAAGGCAACTTTGTTTTGCTAAACTTTGTACTGATCTACAGAATCCATTTCCAAAGTCCAGCGTCTACCGGAAGCTTGCCTTCGCCAAGCTTCTACACCTGAACACCCCCGTTGATCCCGCCTTCTGTGGAACAGCCCGCTGTACGGAATTGGGCGCAAATATGGCGGCTCTCATGGACAGAAGCCCTAGCGCGGCCATGTTGATGTCCTGATAACGCCATTCACGGCCAAAGTCTCTGCCGATCCGTAACAACACCTTGTTCAAGTGTGAGTAGACTGCAACCTCTCAGCCCTTATGATTGGGTGCAAAACCAACAGTCCTAGAAGGTGCAGTGTCTGGGGTGAGGACAGGAAACGGAAATGGTCCTCAGAGGCCATTTAAGTCTCGGCGCGTGGCACTAAAGCCAGTGCATGAGGGTATATGGCGTGACAGTCTCTCAGGTGGTTTTGAGGTGATGGCTTTGTTGTATTTTGGGAAGGATAAATTGGAAGGTTTTGTGTGCCAGTTGCTGGTGAATTAAAGAACCCAGTGAATGAGAGTCTGTGGGGGTCAAGGTTAGGAGCCTCTGGGGTAGTCTGCTTTCAGCTCCCTTGAAGCATCATTTTTTTTTTTTAAATTAATTTATTGATTTTTTATTGGTTGTTCACAACATTACAAAGCTCTTGACATATCATATTTCATACAATAGATTGAAGAGGGTTATGAAGCATCATTTTTTAAAATTGTTTTTTCTCTTCCTGGAGATTGAACCCAGGGCGCTTTACCACTGAGCTACGTCCCCAGCCCTTTTTATTTTTATTTTATTTTATTTAAATTTTGAGCTACAGCCTCACCACCTTGTAGATACTGGCCTTAAAATTTTGATCTTCCTGCCTCAGTCTCCCCCATCTCTGGGATTACAGATGTGCAGCCATATTTTGTCCAAATTTCTAAACCATTTTAATTGTATAGGCCCAACTCCTCTAACAAGTTTATTCTTAGATGTTATATGTTTCCTGCTATTATAATTATTAATAGATTTTTCTTCCATTTCCATTTGCTCATTGCTATTATAGGGAAAAAGTATCTGCTGTTATCATTTTATCTCGAATCCAGCCCCTTTTCACTGTACCTTGTGAATCCTAGTAACCCTTTAGCAGTCTGGTAAGTTTTGAATGTATAAAATCAAATCACTGGCAAAGAAAGCTACATTTTCATTTCTTAATATTTACTCTATTTCATCTAGAGCTCACAAAACAATTTTTGAGACATAGCAGGAGTCTATCTTTGTGTGTGTGTGTGTGTGTCTGTCTGTCCTAGGGATTGAATTCCATGGTGCTTTACCACTGAGCTACATCCCCAGCCTCTTTTATTTTTTATTTTGAGACAAGTTCTAAGTTGCTGAGGCTGGCCTCCTGCTTGTGATCCTCCTGCCTCAGTCTCCTCAGTTGCTGGGATTACCTCTTTTTCTTTTTTGTTTTTGTGATGCAGGAGTGGAACCCAGGGTCTCACATATGCTAAGCATGCATTCTACACCTTCAGCCCTTTTTACTAATTTCAATGGCAATAGTTCCATTTACTTTTTGGTATAATATTTCAGGGCTATGTTTCAATTTCATAAGTAATTTTTGTGATATTTAACTTATTTTCTTCTCTAATTTTAGTCTGAGCTTTTATTAGTAATGGTTGTTGAACTGTGTTAGATGCCTTTGGGGTATAAATTAGTAGCAGCATGTCACCCCTAATTTGCTGATGTAATACATAACAGTATTAATGTTTACCATCTTCTGGAAAGGAGAGACTCAAACTCTCCTGTAGAAGAATTTTTAAGAGAGTTTTTAAAACATTTTTTCCAGTTGGTGTGGTGATGCACACCTGGAATCCTAGTAATATGGGGGGCTGAGGCAGGAGGATTTCAAATTTGAGGCCAACCCCAGCAATTTAGCAAGACCTTGTCTCAAAATAAAATAAAAAGTCTGGGGATGCACCTGTAATCCCAGCCGTTTGGGAGGCTGAAGCAGAGGGATCAGGAGTTCAAATCCAGGCTCAGCAGTGGCAAGTCGCTAAGCAACTCAGTGAGACCCTGTCTCTGAATAAAATGCAAAAAAGGACTGGGAATGTGAGTCAATTGGTCGAATTCCCCTAGAGTTCAACCCACGGTACAAAAAAAAAAAAAAATAGAGGGAGAAAGATTTTAAATGTTAAAATGGAAAAATAATAAAAAGTGGCAGAAGAGACTACCCATTCATTTTCACTGAGATTGCTAAGTCTCCTGTCTTCAGTCACCTACCAGGTCCCCAGGAACAAGTCCCTTCTCTACCTACCCTTTGGAGCTTCACCATTCTCTGCCCCACTTCTACCCTCCCTTCAAACCCAGATCTGGAATTGAAGAGTAGGCTGGCTTGTAGAGTGTGAAGCACCCTGTGGAGCCACTCAAGGATAAGGGACTCCAAGTCCATTAATTTGATCCCAGATTTCATTATCATTTTCATAATCCATGCTGAATAATACTCAGAATAGAGGTTGTTGAATTTTGTGGGATGAATGTGGAACAACACTGATGACATGGATACTGTCCCTTTTAGGATTTCTTGATGTCTCTGTGGAGCCATTGAGCCTTGTACCTTACTGGAGGCTGCAGAATTGTCTGCATATGGACATCTCCCCAGCTTTGGAAGGGGGACTGAGGTCCAGGATGAACATGCCAGCTAATGGGAAATCACCACAGAGGTTCCCTGCACAGATTCCAGGAGAACCTGGAAGACCATTTGAGGTAAGGAGGAGGAGCCTACTTTTTTTTTCTTTTTTAATATTTATTTTTTAGTTTTCGGCGGACACAACATCTTTGTTTGTATGTGGTGCTGAGGATCGAACCCAGTCCTCATGCATGCCAGGCGAGCGCGCCACAGCTTGAGCCACATCCCCAGCCCCTACTTTTTTCTATTTGCTATTTTCTTTCATTATTTCTCTAGTTTGTTTTTATTTTGAAATAATTATAGATTCAAATGCAATGTACTGTTTACCTAGTTTCCCCTAATGGTAACATCTTATTAAACTTTGGTACAAGATCGTTACCAGGATATTGTCATCCATCCCACAAGGATATCTCATGTTACTCTTTAATAGCCGTGACCACTCCCCTCCCATCCCCACTCCCTCCTTAACCTCCGGCAACTACTAAACTGTCTCCTAATACAATAAATAATTGTGCCATTTCAAGAATGTTATAAAAGGCTGGGTACAGTGGTGCATGCCTGTAATCCCAGGGGCTTGGGAGGCTGAGGCAGGAGGATCACTAGTTCAAAGCCAGCCTCAGCAAAAGCGAGGTGTTAAGCAACTCTGAGACCCTGTCTATAAATAAAATACAAAAAAGGACTGGGGATGTGGCTCAGTGGTCAAGTGGCCCTGAGTTCAATCCTTGGTACCAAAAAAAAAAAAAAAAAGGTTAATGACCTATATCCAGCATTCCAGTTTCTTTTTTAAAATTTTTTTTAGTTATGTGTGGACACAATATCATTATTTTGTTTATTTATTTTCATGTGTTGCTGAGGATTGAACCCAGTGCCTCACATGTGTGAGGCAAGCGTTCTGCCACTGAGCCACAAACCCAGCCCAGCACTCCAGTTTCATATAAGCAGTTTCACCTGTGCTTCAGCTTTTCCTCCTTCTGCCCAAATCTCTTCTGGCAATTACAGATGATGATGATAATGATGGTGGTGGTGGTGGTGGTAGTGATGATGATGATGATGATTTGGTACAGGGGCTACATCCCCAGCCGTTTTTACTTTTTAAATTTTGAGACAGGGAATTTACTATGTTGTTTAGGGTCTCACTAAGCTCAGTAAGTTTCTGAGGCTGCCCTCAAACTCATAATCCTCTTCACTTAGCCTCTCAAATCACTGGGATTATAGGTGTGCACCATCACACTGGGTCAGATTATTTGTTTGTCTATAGTTTTTTTTTTTTTTTTTTTTTTTTTTTTGTGTGTGTGTGTGTACCGGGGATTGAACTCAGGGGCACTCAACCACTGAGCCCCATCCCCAGCCCTATTTTGTATGTTATTTAGAGACAAGGTCTCACTGAGCTGCTTAGCGCCTCACTGTTGCTGAGGCTGACTTTGAATTCTTGATCCTTCTACCTCAGCCTCCCGAGCCACTGGGATTACAGGCATGCACCACCGTACCTGGTTGTCTGTAGTTTTTACCTTTTCTAAAATGTCAATGTAGTTGGAACTATATACTATTTAGCGTTCTCAGACTGGGTTCTTTTGTTGTTGTTGTTTATTGATTTTTTAAAAAATAAATGACAGTGGAATGCATTACAATTCTTATTACACATATACAGCACAATTTTTCATATCCCTGGTATATATAAGGTATGTTGACACCGATTTGTGTCTTCATACATGTACTTTGGATAATGATGTCTATCACATTCCACCATCCTTGCTAATCCCCTGCTCCCTCCCTTTCCTTCCTGCCCCTAAGACTGGGTTCTTTCACTTAGTAATTTATATTTAAGGTTCCTTCATATGTTTTTGTGATCTGATAGTTCATTTCTTCTTACCACTGAATAATACTCCATGGTATATATGTACCACAGTTTGTTTATCCATTCCCACATTGAAAAGCTTCTTGGTTGTTTCTAGGTTTTGGAGATTTATGAATAAAACTTCTCTGATAATTCATGTGCATGTTTTTGTGTGGACCTAAGTTTTCAACTTAACTGGTTACATAAGTAGGAGCATAATTGCTGAGTTATATGGTAGGATTGTATTTATTTATTTGTTTGTTTGTTTATTTATTTTGGTGCTGGGGATTGAACACAGGGCTTTGTGCGTGCTATACAAGCACTCTACCAACTGAGCCATATCCTCAGCCCTATGGTAAGATTTTGTTTACTTTTGTAAGAGTATTGCCAAACTGTCTTCCAGGGGTTTGCAGCATTTTGAATCCCTTCCAACCACAAATGAGAGTTCCTGTTCCTGAATATCCTCATGAGCATTTGGTATAGTTGGTATTCTGGATTTTAACTGCCCTAATATGTGTGTAGTTGTACCTTACTTTTTAAAATGTTTTTCAGTATTGGGGATGGAACCCAGGGCCTCATGTATGCTGGAAACTGCTCTACCACTGAGCTACCTCTTCAGCTCTCTTTAAATTTTATTTCAAGTTTCGGAGACTGGCCTTGAATTTATGATCCTCTTGCCTCATCCTTCCAAGCGGCTGGTATTGTAAGCATATGCCACCATACCCAACTATATCTTATTGTTTTAATTTGAATTTTCTAATGATATAGTATATAATATTGAGCACATTTTTACATGCTTATTTGCTATCTGAATGTCTTCTTTGGTGAGATATCTGTTCAGATCTTTTGCTTATTTGTGTGTGTGTGTGTGTGTGCGCGCGCGCTCGCTGTTTGTAGTATCGGGGATTAAATCTAGGGCCTTGTGCATGCCAGGTTTGCTCATTTCTTAATTATTATTATTTTCTTGGTACTGGGGATTGAACTCAGGGATGCTTAACCCCTGAGCCACATCCTCAGCCCTTTCTTATATTTTATTTAGAGACAAGATCTTGCTAAGCTGCTGAGGCTGTCTTTGAACTCAAAATCCTCCTGCCTCAGCCTTCCAAGTCACTGGGATTATAGGCATGTTCTACTGCACCCAGACTTAATTTTTTACCCCCTCAAATTTATTCAATTAAAGGACAAGACACAGTTTGTTTGTCTTCTTATTGTTGAGGTTTTTTAAAATATTATTTTAGTTGTTGTTGACCTTTATTTAATTAATTTATTTGTATGTTGTGCTGAGAATTGAACCTAGTACCTCACACATTCTAGGCAAGTGCTAAGAGTTCTTAATTTTTAAATTTTTAGGCAGTGCTAGAGATTAAACCCAGGGCCTTGTGCATGCTAGGCAAGCACTCTACCAATGAGCCACATGCCAAGCCCTTAAGAGATTTTTTAAAATATATTTTGGGTATAAGACTTTTGTCGGATAAATGTTTTACAAACATTTCTCATAATCTGTGCCTTATTGCTTCATTTTATTAATATTGTCTTTCACAAAGCAGAAGCTTTCTTTTTATTTATTTTTTTATTGATGCCAGGGATTGAACCCAGGGTGCTTTACCACTGAGCCACATTTCCAACCCTTTTTATTTTTATTTTGAGACAGGATCTTGCTATGTTGCTGAGGCTGGCCTTGAATTTGTGATCCTTCTGCCTCAGCTTTCCAAGTCACTGGGATATGGGCATGTGCTATCACACCTGGCATGAAGTTTTCAATTTTAATAAAGTCTCATTTATCAAATTCTCCTTTTGTGGATCATAGTTTTGGTTTTGTATTTAAAAAAGTCATTGCCAAGCTCAAGATCACATGATTTTCTCCTATGTTACCTTCTAGAAGTTTTATACACACAGGTCTATGATCCTTTTTTTTGTTTTGTTTTGTTTTTTTTTTTTGTGTGTGTGTGTGTAGTGGTGCTGGGGATTGAACCCAGGGCCTTGTGCATATGAGGCAAGCACTCTACCAACTGAGCTATATCTCCAGCCCTAAAAAAATCCATTTTTGAGTTAATCATTATGAAATGTATAATGTCTGTGCTAGATTCTTTTTTAATTTTTGCATATCACGTTGTTCCAGCATAATTTGTTGAAAAGACTATTATTTCTCAGCTAAGCATGTAGCTCAGTGAAAAGACTATTATTTCTCAGCATTTGCCTAGTATGGGCAAGGCCCTGGGTTTGGTCATCCCAAGCATGGCAAAACAAACAAAAACTCATTATTTCTTCATTTCTTTTCTGTTTTCTTTTTCTTTTTTGGCACTGGGGATTGAACCCAGGGACACTTTGCCACTGAGCTACATCTTCAGATCTTTCTTATAATATTTTTTTATTTTGAAACACAGTCTCACTAAATTTCTTAGGGCCTCACTGAGTTGCTGAAGCTTGCCTCGAGCTTGTGATCCTCCTACCTCACTCTCCTGAGTCACTGGAATTACAGGTATGCACCACTGTGCCTGGCTTGCTCTTGCTTTTTTGTCAAAGATCAGTTGGGTATATTTGTGTGGGCCTATTTTGGGGCTCTTTACCATGTTACATTGATCTATTCATCTATTCTTTCACCAATAATGTTACCAGAGTTTTAGGAAGAAGGCCCTGGCTCTGGGGCTCCCAACAGACTAGGCTCAGTCACATATCTCAAGATACCAATTGAAAAGACAAGCAATAGTGAAGGCAGGAAAGCAGCTTTTTAAAAATGGTATTGGATATTGATCCCAGAGTCTCACACATGCTAGGCAAGTGTTCTATCACTGAGCTACATCCCCAGCCCTTTTAAATTTTTTAAACATTTTTAGATATAGAGGGACATAATACTTTTATTTAATTAATTTATTTTTTATGTGGTGCTGAGGATTGACCCAGTGCCTCATACATATGAGGCAAGTGCTCCACCACTGACTGAGCTAAAACCCCAGATTCCCTTTTTAAATTTTGAGATGAGGTCTCACTAAATTGCTCAGCTGGCCTGGAGCTTGCAATCCTTCTGCCTCAGCCTTGGAGTACCTGGGGTTACAAGAATGCATCATGCTTTCCTAGGAAAGGAGTTTTTTAAATTAATTTTTTTGCAGTAGTGGGGATTGAACACAGGGGTATTTTACCATTAAGCTACATCCCTAGCCATGTGTGTGTGTGTGTGTGTGTGTGTGTGTGTGTGTGTGTTGCTGGAGATCGAACCCAGGGCTTCACGGGCAAGCACTCCACCACTGAGCAACATCCCTAGCCCCAGGACTTTTTATTTTTATTTTAGAACAGGGTCTTGGTAATTTATTTGCCCAGGCTGACCTCAAACTTGCAATCCTTCTGCCTCAGCCTCCTGAATGGTTGAATTCATGCCCAGCAGGAAAGGAGTTTTAATCAGTGTGGTCTCATTGAGAAGAACAGAAAAAAACAAAGATCTGTCTATGAGGGACTGAGAAGAACTTTGAGGTTTTTCTAGAAAGAGAAATGAAGGGAAGGGTTAGGATTTGCCTAGCTAGGGGCAAAGCTAGATAATCTGTTCAGGTCGTGGTCTGGTTGATTATTATCTCAAGATGATCAGGCAGGGTCTTGATGAAGATAAGAAAGTTGCTGTTGCCTGGATTATAGTTACTATTCTTGTAATAAGATATTTATCCATTGGACTTGTTTTTCCTGGTGTCCAAGAAGAAAATGACTGAGGAGAACTCAGAAGGGAAAAAAACATGTCAGAGAGGCAAGATGGAGTCAGGGAGACAATTTAGAGTTAGTTAGGACAGTGACTAGAGGCCCTCTTTCAATACTGATGTCTTTATTATTTGAGCTTTATAGTAATTTTTTAATACTATGTCATTTATTCTTTTACTTTTCTAATACTGTAGAAGTGAAGCCATGGGTGCTTTACTACTGAGTTCCCAGTCCTTTTATCTCACTAAGTTGCTGAGTTCCTTGCTAAATTGCTGAGGTTGGCTTTGAACTTTCAATCTTCTTGCCTCAGCATCCCAAGTCAATGGGATTATAGGCATGTACCACCACACTGGCTGTAGTAAGTTTTAACGCTGGCTAGCATCTGTACTGTGAGTTGTAGATATATGTGGTTTGGGAAGAAAAAGGCTGAAAAAGCAGGGATGAGGAATCTTTGATTCTTGGTTGGTATCATGGTATTATTCAGACTCTTGTTAAAAACAGCAAGGAAGACTTTATTCAGGACTTTTGGAATAGAAAAAAATAAATCAAACTCAACTCTGTATGCAGTAGAGGCAAACAGGGATTCATGGCCAATGGTCAGTGTGGTGAAGGAATAGATAGAAAACTCTTTTTTGAAAAATTTTTAAGTTGCAGATGGACACAATACCTTTGTTTTATTTATTTATTTTTATGTGGTGCTGAGAATCAAACCCAGTGCTTCACACATGCTAGGCAAGTTCTCTACTACTGAGCCACAACCCCAGTCCCAGAAAATTCTTGAGAAGAACTGGGTTAGGTATCAAAGATGGAGGAAGAGGAATTTGGTTAGATTATCAATGATAGGAGAAGAAAACCTTGATTGGGTGGGCAATCGTTTTTAAATTGGTTTGTCAATATTCTTGGTAAAACTGGGTTTGTGAGTCCAGGGATGAAGCCTAGTCCAGAAGAGGGCTGTGAGGATCCTGACTAAAGTTTGGTTAAAGAGTTTGTCCTTGACAGTGGTCATGTAATCACCCTTGATATTATTACTCTGCCCTAATCTTATATTGCATAGGTGACCTGGCTGAATTTCTACTCTTCTCTAATTTTGTCTTTGAGGGTACCTGAAGGCCAGAATTTCCTCTCTAGGTGGGTTAACTGAAAGTAATTAGATCTAAGACATGGGAGCCTCATTCACTCAGGTACCAAAATCCATTGGTGAAGTCCTAACTTGGGCTACAATTGGATTGAGAGAATATAGAAATACAAGGGTTGATAGGATTAAGGTGGACTTTATGATGAAAATTGACATGCTTAAATGGGCTTTACCTGAATGTTCTATGGATATGGATATTATGTCTGATTGGGGAACACTTGCCCTACCTGGCATCCTAAAACCAAAACCTGTTTCAGCAATCCTAATGGAGCTACACATAGTAATGTAAAAGTTAATGGGATCAAGGTAAATGTGTGGGGAAGAATTGGTCTATTTGAACAGGCTTTATGATAAGTAGTGGCATCTCTTTTACATAAATGTATTATGGAGATGGACATCATATCTGATTATGGAATGTTTCCCTTCCTTGGTATTGTTAATTCATCCTTTAAGCAGTATTACTTGAAGATAATTACTTGGAGATACTAAATGGGAACCAGTAAAATTGTTCAAGCCCACAATGTATAGAATAGAACCGGGGTGCTGGTATAGACAAATTCTCTGCACAATAGCCCTGTGTAGAATATGGTCTGGTGCTTATGATAAAAGCCCATGAGCGCCTCCCAGTGGTAACGACTAGGATTTTGGGCTAGAGAACCTCCATTTGAGGGATAGTTACTAATTTGCTATCAGATAGATATTAACTGAAACTGTCCCTATGACTGAAGGACATTAAGTAATTTTGAGACCTAAAATATCCGTGATGTCTTGAC